TTGTCCGCGCGCCTTTACGGTAATTCTGGACATGATAGTGGTTTCATATGTTGGCGAATGGTAACAGTAAGGGTGGAGTGTCTTGTCCGCAATTGCAGAATCTGCACGTATTTGTTCACCCACAGCGGCAGAAATCACATTGCAGCAAAGATATGATAACATCGTCTTCAAACAAGAGAATGACTTCACTGGGCACTGAAAAACGCAGGAATTTCGTCTCTTATCGATGACGCATTCGTTGCGTCGTCGTAGGGGGCGGCTAGGTATGAGCAATGGAGATGGGGCAAAAGCAGAACGATAAATTAGATCTTATCGGGCCGGCAATATCATTAATCACTCATTGCTTGTGGAAAAACCCACCAATTCATCTATCTCACTAGCGCTTTTTCCAAATTGTCGAAGCTCTTCCAAAGTAGCAAAAGCGGCGAAAAAATCGATCATTTAATTGCGAATTGTGCATTTTTTGGCATTTTGTGTGTGCGAGCGACGAGACTAAAGCGATCGTCGTCGACGTGAAACCACGTAGCTCGGCGCCATCACATTTGCGTTTGTGAAGGGAAGGGGGAATGCATAGCACACTGGTTTCGCTCGTCGACGTCGAGCGAATGCACGTAGCCACAACTCACTTTATCGTCTCTGCTCAGAAAAACTGACTTTTCCGGAAATTGTACCGCTTTTTTCCGCTTGCAGAAACAGAGCCGGAAGCATCCAATTGTTTGCTTGTGTCTTCCATTATTCAATCGCTATCTTAGAGCAGGTAGCTCATAAAAACCATGATCGCTCTTCATTCGCCATTTTGTTCGGCTTTTGTTTGTAAATTTCGTGAGCCTTATAGCTATTTTGCACTCGCATTCCAAACTGCACTTTCCTCAATAAGTTTGTACAAATCACTAGGCCGATTTACTCATTTTTATGACTTTGGCTGACATACCGTACACCTACCGCAACCCGGGTATACAACATCCGCATACGTGACAGCGTTAAAATAATTTCCTTGCACAAATCTCAGAGCTTTCATTTTTTAGCCAACTTTTGATGTCTGTGGTGCGTTTTAGCTTATCTACCGTACACCTACCGTACTGCCCATATGGCACCGGCATATATGATCAGCGCTTAATTCGTGTGCTTTCACGATTTTCATATCCCTCTAGGTTTTAATTTTGTCGATCTTTGACGTAATTTTGCCTTTAGGAAAGCTCTACTGACCACAAACAGTTTACAGTCCAGTAGACTTTCTTTGCTGTGGTGTGCAATTTCACACTTTCTAAGATAGACTTTATCGCTTGACGCTTGGAAATGGTTCCTTCTTTTTGCTTCTTATTTTTTATGGGACACATCCTGTGAATCGTCATCGATCACATGCCATGCACTTCTTACACGCGAAATCTGCGTTTTATCGCTGGCATCCCGAAAAATGTGCATTTGCACACTAGCAAAAAGCCTACTCTGCACAAATTATTCTTCAAGATTTCTGATTTTCCTCAATATTCCATAGTTTGAGTTTTGAGACTATTCATACAATTGCTGACTCTCAGACATCCTCTCCGTTCAATCGACCTACTCATTCCTTACCGTATACCTACAGAACTTGATACAGCTATACATTATGACTTATTTGACAAAACCCACGTTGCGTACGCAGTGAATATATCTTATATATCTTTGTATGGGTGGAAATTCGATTTTCCCGTGAGAAAAATCTCCCCTTAAAATTAGGACTATAACTTGAATAGGACCAGAATGGTCCCCAATTGTAGTACGCCTTTCTTGCATTTTTTGACTTTAATATGCGCATTCGAGTGTTTGAGTTCTGGTTTTGGGTTGTTCTACTCTCTTGTTTATTAGTCTGCTACACAGCCCGAAGCGAAAACTGGTCCCCACAAGAAATTCAGCGTTGTTTTTGCTTGTTTCACGTTTGCTGAAGATTAGAAGTTAATAGAATTACACATCATGACTATAAAGTTTGTATCTTTGAAAATATTTTTTTGCACAATGATATTTTGAACGTTGAAAATAGCCCATTCTCCAATTCAAACTTCTGTTTACTAGTTTGGAATGTAAACGCTTTGCAAAAGTCTTTCCGTCTTAGTAAATTGCAAAAGTCTATGTTATCTTCTGGTTAATGTGTTTTCTTAGTGAATTATGGGAATTCTTCCATTTTGTTGCCTATCTCTGTAATCTCTTTGGGGAAATACCTTGACTACAAAATCCTTCTGTAATAATAAAGGAATGCAGTGGAACCGGTTCGTAGGTGGTGAGGCATGATGTCTGAAAGGGGGTAAAAGTCGCGTCCGCGTCTAAGAATTCAGCCCCATTTGTTCCAGTTTTGCATTGTGGAACCAGCATCAGTGGGCAGCATCAACCATTTCTATTATATCTGTTTCGCGGAACAATGTAGCACAAAAGAAATCATACTCATTTGTTCGAGAAAGTTCCTAGAAGGAGGAGGGGGGGGGGCAAAAAACGAGAGTTATTGCGCTCGATTCGTGTGCGAGTGAGTCCGCTCTCTCAGCCTAAACCGCCTCTC